TTATTATTATTATTATTATTATTATTATTATTATTATTATATCCAAGCCAAGTACTGTGGGCCAACCATACTCACAGAAGTGCATTTCTGGGTCCCCATGCAGATATTTAAAATGTGGGTGCTCATGCACCATATGAATAAATGGAGTGACAAGAATGCACCTCCTTCAATATATCCATGTAATCATTGTCACTATGTAATAATATGGGATGTGACAACCTATGGTTGGCATAAATTGGTAGTCTGGGGCCTGTGAGTTTGGAATGCCCATTGTAACACAGAGCTGGATGTAAGGAAAACGAGAGAGTCACTTTTGCTCCTGTAGATTAAGTCGCTGATAGTTGGGTGGCTTTTAAATAGTGAAATGATTTTAGTGTAAAATGATTCTTAGATTTAAAATGCTGATAATTTGGGGATCATTATTGCCATTTCATATACTTTACCTTTGTGTGTTGCCTAGATAATATATTTATGAACTGATTAATAAATGCAAATTAATTTCAGAAACAAGCTGATTTAATAAGCTTGAGCTGTTAGGCCATAAGACTTCTAAGCGTGTTTCTTTTTGCACATTGTTTCTGTGGCTCAAACTACTGCAGGCTGAAAGTGTAGATAAAACGGTTGCAGACGAACTAATCCACAAGCTGGACCTAGCGGAGAAAGCACTGGCTGCTAAGCAGACACAAATAGATGAAATGAAGCAAACCATCGCCAAGCAGGAAGAAGAAATTGAGACCGTGGGTGTCCTCCGAGCTCAGGTACAGACATCTGTCAAAAGAGATTAATACGAATTCAGGGAGAGGGCTGGCAAAGACTTGCAGGCACGTATCAGCACCTTCAGTGGTGCAGGATGATAAAAGTGTCGCCACACAACATCTGCAGGGCTGCACATTCCCCATCTCTTTGTTATGCTATGAAGCAGGTAAACCTCTGGAATTACATTCCTTCCTTGTTTGAAACCTTTCCCAAATTCCTTTGGACCAGCCTTTTTCTGGCTCAGAAAGGGTTAAGAGGTTCTGCTGGAACCATCCAGTGTCACAATTCATGTTTCATATTTCATATGGGTTACAGAGCCTCCTGTTGCTCCATTTGAGATCTTTTTTTAAAAAAACCTGTTTTTCAGAACAGAAGTGGAATCCTGACAGTTAGGTGTGTTTGTCATTTTTAACCAGGCATCCTCAAACTGTGGACTTTCAGCTGTTTGGACCTCTAACTCCCAGAAGCCGTAACGAGCTTATTCAATTGTCAGGACAAAATCATAGAGTTGGAAGAGATCTCATGGGCCATCCAGTCCAATCCCCTGCCAAGAAGTAGGAAAATTGCATTCAAAGCACCCCCAACAGATGGCCATTCTGTTTAAAAGCTTCCCAAGAAGGAG